CTGTGGTACTTTGAAACTCCTATAGATATACTACTCTTGGAATTTATTGCAAACAACGTTTCAACAAATTACATTTGGTTTCTACCCAAACGTTCGAAGTTGAAAAACGGGGAAAACCGTTAGAAATAACGATACAGGCTTGATAAAGCCAGTCTGAGGAGATTGTCCACAGGTCGAGACAAAAATCTGGGGGTGGCGAGTCGTTAATCCATTAACATTCTAAGATTGAATGTGGGCTTTAAAATGTAGGAAAACCCATTTAGATCAGACTAAACAGCAATAAAACACATAACAAATTAATTTATCTTTAAACCAGTTCCACCAAAGATTACTGAGTATTATAGAGTAAATCCTCTTTAACATTCAACTTTTGGCAGGGATGTCGGTAAATCCGATGGTAATCAGTATATGTATTGTGTTGTATTGTCGCTGGTGAATAAGTTTTTGTAATTAGCCTTAGTAATTAATTATCATAGATTTCCGATTTCTCATCACTCTAGTCTGGATCTATTTATTACCAATGTTAAAAACTCTTCAAAACTAATATACATTTTTTACTGATGGCAACCCAATTTATTCTAAAATCGTATTCCGATTTATTCGGGAATGAGAGGGCATCATTTTCATATCATCCATTTGTCGACCTATCCACGAATTCATTTTCTGAAATATTTATACAAACTCAGAGCTGCCATTTTTTTTAAATACTCCCATAAATGTCCTTCCATCAAACTAAGTTCAATTTAAACGGTATCGGATCGCAGTTTGCGATGGGTTTCCATATTTTCATTTATGAAAATGAAAATGCTAATACTTATATGAATAGAAAGTAGAGGTGTTCTAATGACTTGGAAAAATACCAGTTTGTCTCACATGTCCGTAATCAATTTATAAATAGAAGAGAATTACCAACAGAATTACAAAGAGTGACCGATCAAGAAAGGTCAAAAAGTATTTTTTTGTTTATCCAGACTGTACATACATGAACATTTATGATTGGTTAAAATACTTAATTATATGCAATACGAACAGAATGATATGATTAAGAATACATGATAATTCATTAGAAACACCGATCAACCAAATAGCGTGCCTAATTTTACACTAAAAAATAAGGAAAACCATCTTTAAAGATGGGTTCCCTCATTTTCATTTATGAAACCAAAATGCTAATACTTATATGAATAGAAAGTAGAGGTGTTCGAATGACTTGGAAAAAATACCAGTTTGTCTCACATGTCCATAATTAATTCATAATTAGCTAAATTTGAAGAGAATTACCAGCAGAATTCCAATGAGTGACCGATCAAAAAAGGTCAAAAAGTTTTTTTTTGTTTACATACGTGGATAAAATAAGGAAACCCATCTTTAAGTGGGTTTGACTTTAAACCCTCATTCGACTAAATAAAAGGCTACTAGAAACTTTAGCAATAGCTATAATAAAAAAAAAAAAAATATTATGTTTAGAAAGATGCCGAGCAGTGGCGTTTCTACGTCCCCCCCCCCCCCCCCCCAGAAAAGGGACTAGCCCAGAAAATTTTGTTGCCCCTGTTGGCCCCCCTCAACTAATGTTTCCTAGAGACGCCACTGATGCCGAGTTGACAAACCGGATCACATAGTACCAGCATATGATTTTATTAATATTGTGGCTGAAAATAAATAATTATTATTAAACCTATTTTACTTCAACCTTCCCCACAAGCGACACAGAAAAATAAGTAAAGTCATGACTTGATACTGTGAGTGGCATCCAATATAAGCAAACAAAGCTAATCACCTTCAAAAACTTTAAATTAGATTTATCATTGTCATTATACATACAGATCTATCTATATACTAATTGCTGAATACCGAGTTGAAAGCTGACAAAATAAATGAAATCAATTTTGTTAGAACGATTTGAACAAATGATCTCACTAAGCATTCCCTTTCTCCTTGTTGTCAAGGAACAGATCGTTTATTACACGCTTTATCTAACCAAAACCAAAATATTACAGAGAGAAAGCTACTGGATGGACCAACTCCAAACGACGGATCCAGATGACCTTAATAGCCAACTTACAAATTATTCCATTTGTTGCAGTGGCTACCAGGCCCGTAGCCTTACCAGTACTCCTGGGAAACAGAAAAGGTGTATTTTAAAAAAGCGACTTTCACGGAGTATTTAGATTCGAGATTATTTCTATTAAAACACACAAGTTATAATACGTTACATTTTTATTGCTGTTTTAGTTTAAACGTAGTCGGGTATGTTTTATGGCAAGACGTTGAACAAATACGTCCAAGTTAATTTTCTAGGTTTTTTTTATCAAATATTTATCCATTTTTCCTACTTTGGGTTGTTTGATTCATATGAATACAATTTAGGATAATATATGTCTATTGGTATTTATAATCAACCAATCAAATCTTTTGAATTTTGAGACGGGACAGATTACAATCCAGTATCAGACCAATAATTTTGTTACCAATGACGCGTTACTGCAGCCTTTTTATGATTTTTAACGAACTCAATTGTATCAAATTATCTATTCTAATGTAATTAAATTTAAAAATGTTATGAAAAGCTATGATGTCTGATTTGACAGAGACAGATTTGATTAAGATTTTTTAAGAAACAAATGTACTATCAAAAAGTATATAAGTAAAGTTCGGTATTACACTTGGTGCTCTAGTCGTAATGATGACGGATTGAAACCGGATGTTGCGTGTTTTAAACTATCAAAAGTTATCCCTGTTAACTCCAACAAGAGAGTCAACATGACAAGTCAGGAAGCTGTTTTATAATTTATTGTCAGTCCTGGATATATTCACGCCTTTCAGTAATAAAACACACCTTATCTAACATGTTTGGAAAAGAAATGACATGGAAAACAGTTAAAACTTTAAAGTCATAAGCTGCTTGTCTCTACCAAAACCGCAAATGGTCACGTGTAACCTGCTTTTGTTAATCATTTTATTTACAGGCACCAAAATTTAAAAGGGGGGGGGGGGGGGGGTTGGGCAATGCCTAGCAAGCATATTTTCTTTGGGAGAGGGGGTTGGGCATGCTCATGCAATATTTCCTTTTAGTCACTTAGCTCCCACGCCCCCCGCCCCCGCCTCACCCCAATAGAAACGCCACGGTTCATTTATTCAGATTGGTTTTTGGACTAATATGAAAAATGCCCTATTGCCGGCCATGCCTTGTGGACTTTGGCTCCTATGATGCAATTAGTCGAAGTTTTAAACGAATGTCCGCTTGAGGACACCAGGTAGCTCAGTCGATTAGCATGATAATCCAATGTCAAGAAGTAAAACTGATAGATAGATACCAACTGGTAGAAATAATCCCCAACCAAAATGGGGTTATCATTAAAGGAACAATTTCACATTTGCGGGAGTTGATTTGGGTCTTGAATAAAGTACTAGAAATGTGCGAAAATCAAAAACATCTCAAACTAGGAAATTCTAGTTCTATATATGTTTTTTCAATATATGACAGAGTCCTAACTTTTTAAAGCGGATAATTTGAAGGCAATTACTGATTGGTTTAGCCAAAATATTCCCGTTTCTGAGACTAAAGATTGATTTGTCAAAAATGGCACATCAGTCTCTCAGTGCGAAAATACCTTTATGCACCTTCATCTAACCATCGACATAGAATTAAGTACGTCAAGACCGAATAAATACTACAATAGGATTTAAAGGTTAATATTTTCTTCATCGTTTAATCCGTGTAGTTAATCTCGCCTCCAAATGGCTTAAGGGCATGGTTTTCATACTATTGCTTTATGTTTTACCCTTTAGATTTGTTAAAACAATGAAACAGAATTAAAATAAATAAAAATAGTTAATATTGATTATGAATGAATGAATGAACGCATGAATGTGATTTTGGCAACGGAAATGAGTGAGTGGGTGAGTGCATTGCATTAGTTGAGTTATTGAATTTGTTAATGAATGAGTCAATTAGTTGGTGAGTCCATGAGTCATGTCGAGAGTCAGCTACTGTGTTATTAATTCATCGAGTTGATCAGTGAGTCAGTGAATATTAATCCAGTGAGTAATCCGGTCAGTTCAATGAATTAGTCAGTAAGTCATTCAATGAATTAGTCAGTAAGTCATTCAATGAATTAGTCAGTAAGTCATTCAATGAATTAGACAGTAAGTCATTCAATGAATTAGTCAGTAAGTCATTCAATGAATTAATCAGTAAGTCATTCAATGAATTAGTCAGTAAGTCATTCAATGAATTAGTCAGTAAGTCATTCGATGAATTAGTCAGTAAGTCATTCAATGAATTAGTCAGTAAGTCATTCAATGAATTTGTCAGTAAGTCATTCAATGAATTAGTCAGTAAGTCATTCAATGAATTAGTCAGTAAGTCATTTTTGTGGATTGTCAGCGAGTAATTAATCAGTTAGTTATTCAAAGACTTATTCAATGAGCTATCTAGTTAGTCTTTCTTTGAGTTATTATTTAGTTATCCGGTCAGCGATGCAATGAGCTTTGCAGCGAGTTATTTAATGAGCTATGCAGTGAGTAATTTAATGAGCTATGCAGTGAGTAATTTATTGAGTTATTCAGTGAACTATATAATGAGCTATGTAATGGGCTATGTAGTGAGTTATTTAATGAGCTATGGAGTGAGTTATTCAATGAGCTATGCAGTGAGTAATTTATAGAGTTATTCAGTGAACTATGTAATGAGCTATGCAGTGAGTAATGTATTGAGTTATTTAGTGAGCTATGTAATGAGCTATGCAGTGATTTATTTATTGAATTATTTAGTGAACTATGTAATGAGCTATGTAATCAGCTATGCAGTGAGTAATTTATTGAGTTGTTTAGTGAGCTATGTAATGAGCTATGCAGTGAGTAATTTATTGAGTTATTTAGTGAACTATGTAATCAGCTATGCAGTGAGTAATTTATTGAGTTATTTAGTGAACTATGTAATGAGCTATGTAATCAGCTATGCAATGAGTAATTTATTGAGTTATTCAGTGAACTATGTAAGAAGCTATGTAATGAGCTATGCAGTGAGTAATATATTGAGTTATTTAGTGAGCTATGTAATGAGCTATGCAGTGAGTAATTTATTGAGTTATTTAGTGAGCTATGTAATGAGCTATGCAGTGAGTAATTTATTGAGTTATTCAGTGAACTATGTAAGAAGCTATGTAATGAGCTATGCAGTGAGTAATATATTGAGTTATTTAGTGAGCTATGTAATGAGCTATGCAGTGAGTAATTTATTGAGTTATTCAGTGAACTATGTAAGAAGCTATGTAATGAGCTATGCAGTGAGTAATATATTGAGTTATTTAGTGAGCTATGTAATGAGCTATGCAGTGAGTAATTTATTGAGTTATTTAGTGAGCTATGTAATGAGCTATACAACGACTTTTTCAATGATTTTCTCAATGGAACACAAAGGTTTTTCTTACCAGGAAGTCTAAAAATGGAAAAGAAAAAAAGGAGCTTAAAATATACAATCTTTTTAATAATTACTATGTTTTGATGAAAATATTCTGTCAGGTTTCCGCGCCTTCGTTTTATATTTATTGGTTTTTGTCTCAAGGATGTATTCCTCAAGTAGCATTGTCAATTAATGACAATCGTCATAATTCAGTACAATACATTTCCCGTCCCAGTGTCGTTTTCATTGTTTTCATACTCTTTCGCAAAGGCGATTAGGTGCCGTGAGTTCGATTCCTCAAGGTAAGGAGTACTCTGATGCTTTTAAATTTCTTGTAAAGATTTCGAACGCGATGAACGTTGATCCATAGATAGGCGAGTTTTTTCTTTATAGTAAATCTATCCTTACCATATCGACCACGATGCACTTTTCTGATTTTGTTGCTACATTTTACTAGGCATATTATTGATAATATTTATGAGTAAGAGATTTTATGTGAAATGTGAAAGGTGCCTTTTCAATTTTTTTTAATTTCTTATGAAAGAAAAACAACGATTTTCTAATATTGACACTACAAAAATTCCACCCAACTGAATAGTTTCGTTTCGTAATCTGCGAACTTCAAATAAACAATACTCATTATAGTGCATTTCCTCTTTTATTTCCAGTTAGGGTGGTTGTGGTGGGTTGGCGGTTGGGATTCAAAACACATCCGCTTGTATTAAATATTGTGAAATATCTTATAAGGACAGTTGAACCTTGTGAGAAAAAAAATAAATTTGCTTAAATCCATGGAATCAATCTAGGGTTCTGTTTTACAAAAACATTAAGATAAAATCCCGGTTTTAAGAAATAAAGTCATCTCATTTGTTTATAAAATTTAATGATTGGCCAATCAGATGACTGGAACACTAAAATAATCTTAAGCAAAATTGTCATGAAATTGGCCAAGTTGTACGACTATTTCGGATTATAACGCCACAATGTATTGAAGCGTATCTTATTGGATAGTTGACTTACTATCAATAAAGAAAAACATTTTCAATAGAGTTTAACATTGTCATCTTATCGCTTACTATTTATCATAATATTAAAGGTAATGTTTGGGTTGTAGAAATATTATTTTGAAAGGGAATGAATATTTGAGTATTTTATTTACGTAGGCTGATACGTTGCTGCGAGCTGCAGTGTGCAATGAAGGGTAATCTGCTAGGATATAAATCTTAAAAGTTGGCAAGCCTTTGATTTTCCAATAGAAATAATATATATTTTGCTTTACGTTTTATGAGAATTTCTTACGTTACGTTACGTTACGTTATAATAGGATATTCGCTAATAACTCAAACTTTTTGTAATGACCTTTCAGCGACTATTTTTATGAACTGGAATTGTATTCCTTATAGCCGAAGTCCAGTAAACTAATATGCTGTGTCAGCAGATTATCAATATATGTATATATATTACTATTATTATTATCAACGTTATTATGTTCATAATTATCATCACTATTATCGACGTTAACATGATCACTATTATCATCATTATTATCATCATCATTATCATTATCTAAACGTTATCATGTTGATTATCATCATTATTATCAACGTTATTATGTTCATTATTATCAACGTTTTTATGATCATTATTATGATCATTATTATCATCATTATTATCAACGTTATTATGTCATCATTATCAACGTTATTATGTTATTATTATGTTCATTATTATCAACGTTATTATTTTCATTATCATCATCAGTATTATTCCTCGAATTCTATATGTCGTTCAAATCTTATATCAGTATTATTGAACGTAACAGTATCTTAAAGCCGTTCTGCACCACCTCACGTTGTTTTTTTATTATAAATATTGTGTTTGTGATTGTCTGATCACTGTTTCTGACAAGTCTAACAAATATTTGATCGTCATCCAGAATATGTTCAGCAAAACTTAAATCAAAAGAATAACAAAGACTCATGTTCACCCTCTGGGATTGCTTTCTGCGCTGATATATAAATTGTTGTGTAACATAACTTTAATGTAATAACATGACATACCAAACGAAACTATGTGTGGTTCTTACATAGAAATAACACACGAACGTAGGTTACAGCCATTTTGAATCTCTACCTCGACTTAATATGTCGAATTTTTAAAAAGCTTTAATATTCCAACAAAGCCTTCAAATCATATTTAAAGCCATTTCTAAACCATTACATGTGATTTGAAGGCTTCGTTGAAATATTATAGCCTTTTTAGAAATTCGACTTATCCAGTCGAGGTAGAGATTCAAAATGGTTGTGAATGACGTTCGTGTGCGTTATTTACATGTAAGAATCACGCGTAGTTACGTATGATGACATACAAGGAAAGAGAAACCATGTGGGTTTTGGTAAAATGATATTAAAGACATAGTTTTCTGTTTGAGAGAATAATTTTCACACTTTACGATCATTGACAAGCTTTTCAAATATTTATACTTAAATTACTTACGTTAATATTTACTTAAATTACTTACGTTAATATTTACTTATATTTTTTAATTAAACAGATTTAAAAGAGTTTTTAACTTTAAAGGGAAAGATGTACTATTTTTTTTTTTACCAATCATACTTTAGTCTTAAAACCAATCAGTAAAGTGTTCACAGCTCACCGTCGAAATTTGAATCTTCAAATCTTGTGTGTCCAGAATTATCCGCGTTTGAATGTTAAAATGACGACTCGTCATTTTAAGATACTCTGTCATATATAGAAAAGACAATTATAGAAATAGAGAGTAAAATTACTAGTTTGAGGTATTTTAAAGGAATGATGCGATTAACGTACATTTCTAATACTTCTGAAGATAATTTACATATATTCAACATTCAAATTAATCCCCTAAAAATGGCGCATCTGTACCTTTAATATGTGTATCGGGCATACTTGCAAATAGATCTTGGTATCTCTGACCCGGAAACGTAACGTAAATTGGGATTGCCATGGTAGAAGTTACCATAGAATTTAAAATTAACATACAAAACACATCTCATCTTCCTCTTTCTTGGTAAAAAAGAGAATTTTTTTTGCTTTTGTATCTGTTATCGGATATATAGATCAAGGTGTTTTTATGGAATGAAACGAACCAGAAACGACGAGCATGAAATCGTTAAAATTCAAGTTTGGCATGGTAGAAGTTGAAAGTTGAAAATGTGGGGATTTTCTTTCGAATTTAACTTGTAAATTGTTTAAAAAAAAACTAATTTCGAAACTTCTGGTCTAGCCATGGAAACTTTTAAAAAATTCATCAAATTTTATTAATAGGCCTTTTTAGTAGAATATTCTGTTCATTCATTGTAGGATGCAGGCCCGTAGCCTGACCAGTATTCCTGGGGGTGCAAAAGTGCAATCGAGGGGGGCAATTTAGCAAAGCACCTTGACAGACGATTAAACGTCGGGAAACGGACTTTCGTGGAGTATTTTAGATTCGAGATTATTTTTGTTAAAACACACAAGTTATAATACGTTACATTTTTATTGCCGTTTTAGTTTAAACGTAGTCGGGTATGTTTTATGGCAAAACGTTGAACAAATACGTCCAAGTTAATTTTCTGGGTCTTTTTTTTATCAAATATTTATCCATTTTTCCTACTTTGGGTTGTTTGATTCATATGAATACAATTTAGGATGATATATGTCTATTGGTTAGTATTTATTATCAACCAATCAAATCTTTTGAATTTTGAGACGGGACAGATTACAATCCAGTATCAGACCAATAATTTTGTTACCAATGACGCTTTACTGTAGCCTTTTTATGATTTTCAACGAACTCAATTGTATCAAATTATCTATTCTAATGTAATTAAATTTAAAAATGCTATTAAAAGCTATGATGTCTGGTTTCATCCTCAGCTAAGTATAAACAGGTTGCAAGATTAGATTTAGGAGGGGGAGGGGGAAGGAGGCGGGGGCAAACGTGCAAGCGAGGGGGCAATTTAGCAAAGCACCTTGACAGACGATAAAAACGTCGGCA